ATACTTTCATGAATCAGTTGAAACATTAAGGATAATTAATTATAAAAACATTAAATGGCAGACACCAAGTACTGTTCTGAGATTCTGAGCACATATTGGATTTTCACGCCCCCCCCCCCCCAATTTATTACTTTGTTCTTCTGGGTATCCAACTTGCAACTCACCAACTAGTGACATGCAGTTAAATTTTGACTCTTTTACCATCTCTCTTTGGTGTGATATAGGTTTGAGGATGACCGTCATCATGTTACTAACGTTAGAAAGACCCAAAACAAAAACTGTAGTATCCACACGTGTTGAAATTTGAATACAGTCCAAGGGCAGTGCCATAATCTTGATTGCATCTGTCTGGGGTAGATAACAGTAATTTGTTAGGAAAGGAAAGGAAAGGAAAGGAAAGGAAAGGAAAGGAAAGGAAAGGAAAGGAAAGGAAAGGAAAGGAAAGGAAAGGAAAGGAAAGGAAAGGAAAGGAAAGTTGACCTGTGCCTTAGGGAATACTGAAGTCCATAGGTGTTGCTGAAACCATGTTTGTTCAAAATTACTTATGATTGCCCTACAGCACAAGCCTCATGAAAGTGAATGAAGTATGAGCCACTGGAGTTTCAGTACTTGGAGTGTTTTCAAAAACCATGGTGACAGGAGCTTCTAAAATTTATAAGTCACTCTTGACAATAGGATTTTTTCTCCTAAGCCCCTTAAAGCTTTAAGAATTTTTTTACTGTTTTGTGAGTTGTAATTTTATACCAGAAGATTAAAAAGGAAATCTTTCCCAGAGCTAAAGGCAAAGCTTGGTCTGATAGTCTAAGATTTGACTGCTAAAATCCTCTTTATCTTAAAGCAAAGCAAAATGCTGCTTGAGATTTAAGGGTTGTATCTGCCTTCAGTCTAAATCTAGAAAAGGAGTCAAGGATTTGCTCATTCCAAAATACTTTTAATTTGCAAAAGGCTCTTGACTGCATTCATTAGTGCACCAAACCTGCTTTAATTACACTCTTGGGTACGGTTGCTGGGAGAGGTATAGGACTGCTGTGTTTTATCTTTTAACCACCATAGACTCATTAAAGAGGTGGGCCTTTCATACAACAATGCTTCCTCTGGGAATGCTTTAAGTTGTCTGCTGTCTGTATGGTGATACGGATCATAAAAGTTCAGAGAATTACCTCAATAAGATGACAGCCTTGTCCATTTGCGCAGGAAATCCAGTGCTCCCTTTTTCCTTGGAGGCACGTATTGAAATTCTGTGCAGGCTCATTCCTCTGGCAGTTTAACAATGTGTCCTATGTTTGCCCTGATTAAAAAGAAGAAGACGACGACGAATCTGCCTTTGTAGCAGAGATAACATGGAGGCTGGTATAATTGCTGTAAAGAGGCCTGGGAGCATGCAGTAATAGGATGGTTCATCTGACGTGTACTGCCGTTGAAAAATAAGCCATGTACGCATGTTCTCTGGGGATAGTAAAGTGGCTTTCAAGGATTACACTTTATGTAGTATGAAAGCTAATGAGCAGAAGAGCAAGCATGAAGAACAATTGCTTTGTTCTTTCTAGGTTTTCCTGCAATGTATGTCATTTGAATAGGTATCATTCTGCTTTGGTAGACAGCCAATTCCCCCCTGTTCCAATACAAAAGATCCCTTATCCTTAAAAGGAAGCTCTTCCAGTATAGGTTTTCCAGGCTAGCACATCTGTGCCCCCCCCCCCCACACACACACACACTGCAAAGAAGAGGAATGGAAATAATATAGTCAAAAATGGGCCTGAGAACTGTGATGGGGGAAAATTTGCAGTAATGAGAATCTTTGCAGTTTGGAACCTATAATGTGCAAAGTTCCCTTGTGGCTCTCCCTCCTCCTCTTCTTTGCAAAGAAAATATTTTGTGTACAGAATTTTGTGTACAGAATATAATGCATAGAAATATTCTGCACTGAAAATGCTGTTCCCCGCAAAGAGAATGTTGATTTCTATTTTTGAAAAGTGTTAATTCTGTGTGGAATAATATTGATCTTTTATGCAGCAGAAAAAAACTGCTATAGTTACTTGTTGCTTTTTTTGAGAAAATTAGGAGAGTTATAGCAGCAACACTGTTTTAGGATGTTGGTCACTGAAATAGATGGTTACACATCTAGCCTAGTTCCATCATTACCTCTCACTTACATTTGTGAAATACTTGGTCAGTAGGTCACATGGCAAGAGTAATGAATGAAAGAATGACCATCTCCTGAATGGAGCAATGTGCTTCAACAAAGGATATATAGCATGTTTTACAGAAAATTGCTTGTGTGCTCTAGGTCAATGTGAAAGAGGCTGGTGGTAAAATAACAGACAGCATTAAACCTTGGATTTTCTGTGCTTTCAACTGTATGTGCAATTACCTGATTTGACATTAAAAGGGAGGGGGATTAGACAATACCTGGCAAAAACATTCAGCTCAAGTACATATAGAGCTAAAACTAGACAAGATTTATGCCCTGAGCATGAAAAGGACTCTATAACTGCATTTGGCAAAATGCAGTTATGCTTGCAAGAGCAGGAATTCAACAGTTGTCATTCACATGTGTTTTGTAAGCGTGGTCACCAAATGAAGTCACAGAGCTATCTTTACTCCTTCTGGCTTTTGATTATAATTTACCTCTGAGTGTCAAGGAGTAGGCTTTATGTGCACATTCACATTCCTGTCTACAGTTTTAGAGGACAGCTGAACGTGACTCTAGTCCTGTTCCTATTCTAATTCAGGATTGTACAAATTCCATCACACATTCTTTCATGTGGTTATAAATAGTAACCACCAGCCTCTGTGTTACAGCATGGCACAAGAAAGAACAAGAACGAACAAAGTTCACTATCACTGCTAGACAAGGTGCAGAATTCCTCAAAGTAGTTACAAATGGATAACCTACAGTTACACATTTGTGGCTCATTCATATGTATAGTATCTATATACACACAAATTTAGGAAATAAATAGGGATCATGAAAGCCACACAATCCTCATTTGCTAGGCAGCAGCAACTGTAAGCAACAGGAATCTGTTCCCCTGTTGATTAGGAAGCAGCAGACTGACATTTCCATCCCAGTCCTCTGTATGATCTCTGGCGCAAGAGGAAATTGCAATGAGGATCCTGCTTCTGACTGTTGCACCAGAGATCTGTCACATCCTGTCACTCACAAGAGTTGCTTCCTGCTATGGACTGAAGTGGGAGACACTACTTGACTATGTAACTAAGGTGGTAAATGTAGCTGATACAGAACGGCAGTTGCATATACACATCTATACATGTACATGCCAACACAAAGGCCTGAACTAACATTTCACCAGAACTGAACAATAAAAAATGTTTTAGGATATTGGGATAATTCCAGCTTCTAAAATATGCAGCCAGACACCCAAGGGCAGCTTGAAACTGAACATATTTTCACATAAATAGTTTTAATATCTGCTGTGATCTGTCTCTCTGTTATGTACAGTGCTGTTCTTTAGACTTAGTAGGACCCTCAGAAAATATACTTCAGACAAATAAGAGTTCCTTCAGCAAACAAATGCTGTTATTTTCATGTGAAAGTATATGACTGTCATCGATTCTCAATTTCTATTCATGAGTAGTTTGTTGTCCAATATTCCTCACGACTCAGAGATCATCAGCTAGACATCTCTCAATTGTGCAAGGAAATAGAAAGCAAACAACATCACTGAAAATGTCACTCCATTGAGAGGTAATAATTTTTCCTCTGAAGAATTGTGCACCTACAGCATATCTGGCCAGGGGGACTGGATTTCTTCATATTAAAAATGTCTTTCCAGTTGATATTTTATTATCAATTCCTCCTATAATAACCTCACAATGATTGGCAGTCCTCCTGAAATTCACAGACATAAGTGCCACTGTAGCTCCTTCTTTGCCCAGTATCTTTCTTTCACTTTCTTGTGTCACATTAGTTTTCATTTTTAAAGATACAGCACTTCCCAAATACAAAATACCCAAGCAATAAATAAGATTAAAATATTGCATAAAATATAGTACAATCAACACTGTATTTCAGTGGTATTTTTGTTGCTCCTCACTTAATGGGCAAGTAAATAAAGGGTGCCTACCTTTGCAGGTATGGCACTTTTCTCTGCTGTCAGTCAAGGGAAGCCTCATAGCTGCAAAGTTTGGAGGTACATGGGCAAGTAAAACCTCAAGCTCCCGTACACCTGCACCCTTTGGAGCTACAGGGGTTTCCTTGGCTGCCAAAACAGGAGGCGACAGGGGAGGGGGTGACTATTATGTGGTGAAAAAAGTATATTCTCCATGTAGGATATTGGTCAACATTCTACACACAGTTACACTCCACCTTTCAATCCAACCCTCCCTAAAATCATTCTTAAAATCCATGAAAATGTATCAAGTGAAGGGTTTCTGAGGCACTGGTGAGTGGGGTGCTGCAAAAGTCAAGTTTCCCCCTACCTCCTCTCTCCAGTGAGCTGCAATTCATCATGCAGATGTTTGCCATCTCAAATGGTTCTTTGTTGCACAGTGGCTCATTGGTGGGAAGGAACTAAACACCTCATTTTTCATCACACATTTTAATAATGATACCTCAATCATAAAAAAGTAATACAAAGTTACAGTGTTGTAAAGATAGCTTACAACATTGTAATGGCCTAACAGGATGCCAGCCACAGTGTGAAAACCTAAACCTAAAAAAAAACCAAAAAAAAAAAACATCCAGCTACTCGTTTTAGCCCTCCTGTTAGGTAGCATTGTTTAATGTTATAGACTACATATGAAAGGACATCACTTTTATGGCCCTTGCAGTTTGTTCAGTCAGTGTTTGCACAAGAAAAGAATGAGATACAAACAAAAAGACTTGTTTCTGCAGTGTGTTTGCCTGGTAACACATTTTCTTTCTAATAATACAGCAACAGAAGGACTTGAGAATCAGATATGAAAGCCTGTTGTCTAGAAAAACTTTGCCCTTTTTGTTGTACATTTAAAAGCTGAAGATATATTTCTTCTTTCAGGTTATCAGTCTGTCTTGCCTAATCAACAACAAGGGTTCCAAGGTCTCATGGGAATGCAACAGTCTACCCAAAGTCAGAACCTAATGAATTCTCAACAGGGAAATCAGGTGCAAGGCATGATGGTCCAGTACCCAACCATGTCGTCTTATCAGGTATGAAGCAACTGTGGAATGTCTTAACTTTGGACAAGTAGATTGGGGGATGAAAGTAGTAATAGTGAGTTGTTTAAAAACTCTGATTCAGTGCTAAAGAAAGTTCAGGGTAGTTTTGAAAGAATGTGTTTAAAGAAATGATATTTGGAAATATGTTTAACACCAATATTCATGAGTGCTTATATGATATCTTCATCATCTCCTTTTAGCCTTACTGTATCAACATTTCTATTCCACTCCATATTTTGTTCCAAAGATTTAGTCCATCAGATAAAACCTTTTTTGCCCTTTTGCCACATATAAGATTGAGATCTTCAAAGCTTCCTCTCCATTTTCCCATTGGACATGGGGGGAAATCGTTACGTTGATTTCCTTGTACTTTTTATAATGTCAATCTAGAGAAGGAATAGAAGGTCAAAGGCATCAAGTAATGGGGATTTAAACATCCTCCATTTAGTATTTTTGAAGATATACAACATTTAAATGTCAGAAGTCAGAGATTCATTTATGTCTCTGGATACTGCATATTTTGTGGACTGTTCTCAAGTTGCAAACAACTTGGGATGGATATAAAGAAAGTAATTTCTGCTGAACATTTCAGAATTTCTCAGATACTGTATATATCCTTCTGCTTTTACAGTGTTGCTTCTATGTCACGGTGCTCATACACACGATAGTTACCTGAACTCAAGTAGCTTCTCACACACAGATGTTCATAACACTGAATGGTATTAAGTATGGCAATTAGACATTGGTAAGTTAAGAGTTGTAGATTCCTAACTGATTTGTATTTAATATAACAATGTGGTCTTACTGAAAACCAAAGCTCATATTAAGAGGCAGATGTCAAATCAGAGAAAGAAGATCATTCAGCATTTGATCAAGGTACAAGAAGAAAAACATTTCCACACCCTCTCAATCAGAATCTCTACATTCTTGCTCAATCCCAGGCTTGTCACAATCCCTTTTGGTGAAGGAAGAATTGGAAATATTGACCCATTTGTGCCCTGAATAAACCTCTTTTGCCTAATCAAGAGGTTGGCTCTTAAGGTGGGTTTAGGTGAGAGTGGGACAAGAGTTGTAACTAAATAGCTAGTATAGGATTCTGGTGACAATTATTTGACAAGTCAAAATGGAAAGTGTCCCCACCCATCACACAAGTTGCAAACTACAATCACTCATCTCTTCCTTCATTAAGAGCTGGCTAAGGATCATAGTTTCCTAATCTCCTGAAACAAACAAAAAAATCACAATTAGTTCATGAAGCCAGATCAATTTACCAGGAGTGGAAGACAATTTGAGGATTCTTATGCCACTAATCCACCAGAGTCTGAATGGCATTGATGCTCTGAATAGCACCAGGTTTAGGACAAATGAAGCCCTGTGTTGGTTAAGTAATGAGGCCCCTTACTTGGGTCCTGAAGGAAGTAGGCCTGGTAGGCCTACACTGCCTGCTTTGTGGCACATTCCCATAGACTATCAACTCTATTATTATATCTAGAATTGCTCTGAAACAAAATGCCTTCAAATTTAGAATTGCACCACATAAACAAAATTCATTGTAAAAAAATGGCAGAAAGATGACCGCCCCACCCCTTCCCGGCCAATGGGGCCTTGTGCTTAAGCACACCACAGCACAGTGGTAAATCCAGCACCAGCTCTGATCATTTCCTGCCACCAGTAGCTTCTTATCTGAAAGGAGAATTGTGCTTCTCTCTTTTCCACAACTTGCCTTTTTTGCGTGGGTAAGGGGAGAAGCAAACAGAATCAGTCAGTGAATGTATGCACCACTTATTTTTCCAGAGTAGGAAGTAAAGATAAGATTTTTAAAGCTTACCGAGTCATCATGGTGGGACTCAAAGACTTTCCTAATGTTCACAGCATGCAAAAGCCTGGGATTGAGCAAGAATGTAGAGATTCAGGTTGCCAAATCAGGATTATCCTAGGGATGATGTCTTGTGATGTCACAAATGGTAACACCAGTAATATCACAAAGCTGATGTTAAAGATGTAGCCTCTGGTAATATCATTAAGTATGATGTCTTGAACATAAAATAAAATTGCACTGCGTGTGCTATTAAGTTAGAAAGCACCCTCCAACTCATGAGAAAAATATACACACTTTCCAAGGCAGCGCTCTTTCCCTGAGATTTATCCATCCACCCTAGAGATGAGAGAAAGGGTATCCGAGATCAGACAACTTTATCTGAGAGCCAGTTGAATTCTGACATCAAAAATTCTTTCAGCTTCTGATGGGCTTATTTAGTTTAATTTCTTCCTTGATCACTTTCAAGGACTGGGTGGGATAAGCAGAAAAACTCTAAAAGTCCAGATTAAGCTTGCAGAGTGGAAACTCCACTTCCCTAGCATATGTGGCTTTTTTCATCCAGTCATATGCTGAGCAGAGTTGCAGCAGTTCAGTTTAGAATATCATTTCCTTCATTTCCCTAAATATTTCTGATTCCAGAGAACAGAGTAAGCCCAGAAGGTAAATGCTAAAACTTTGTCTTCTTTGTGTAAAATAGTTATCATGGCCATAACAATGGGTTAGATTCCAAATTCCTTTCTTCAGCAATTTAATGTGACAATATCTACAGTTTAAAATGCTGCACTGTTAACCTCACAGTGACAACAAACAGTATGGTGCAAACTTTTAGTACAGTTTTATTTTCTTATAAGTAGCTTGAGTAACAGCCTACCACTATTCAACAACAATATATATACATGCTGCACTGTTAACCCCACAGCGACAACAAACAATGTGGTGTAAACTTTTAGTACAGTCGTGTCTTCTATAAGTAGCTTGTGGGACAGCCGACCACGACCGGTTTCGGCCTACCTCAGGCCTTCCTCTGGTGGAAAAATTATGCACATGAAAGTATGTTCTCCACGGGAGATACAAATCTTTTTGGGTTGGTATGAGATACTCTGCTTCTACTCGCAGCCAGAACTAAACTCAAAGCAGAGTATCTCATACCAACCCAAAAAGATTTGTATCTCCCGTGGAGAACATACTTTCATGTGCATAATTTTTCCACCAGAGGAAGGTCTGAGGTAGGCCGAAACCGGTCATGGTCGGCTGTCCCACAAGCTACTTATAGAAGACACGACTGTACTAAAAGTTTACACCACATTGTTTGTTGTCGCTGTGGGGTTAACAGTGCATGTATATATATTGTTGTTGAATTGTGGTAGGCTGTTACCCAAGCTACTTATAAGAAAATACAACTGTACTAAAAGTTTGCACCATACTGTTTGTTGTCGCTGTGAGGTTAACAGTGCAGCATTTTATATACTGTTATTGAATTATATCATTGTTTATGTTATACAAGTGATATTTTTGTTATATACACTTCACTCAGGAACCCATCTATATTATTGAATATCTACAGTTTCCCTTCTTTCATTCTGTTTTGTGCTCCCTTGCTGGATGGCTGCCTAAGTATAGAGGGTGAAAACCACCCAACTTTTAAAATTCTTAAATTCTGCAATCTTTCACTTCTGCTGATGGCTAACTAATGTGCACTCCAACTGGAGGGTATAAGAGAAAGGGAATGAGAGGAAAATCCACAGCCCTGCTTCTCATTAAATCAGCCTGAAATCCTAAATGAACAGAGGACATGGAGATAATAGAGACAGAACTAGAACAGACATGAATAGATTGAAATGACAGAGTTGAATCCACAGTAATGAAAAAATGCAGGCAAGTTTTAAAAATTTAGGAAGAAATTTCAGAGACAGGGGTTTTCTACTTTTGTCATTTCATTTGCTTCTTGATGACTGTCTTCTAGGTGCCAATGACCCAGGGTTCTCAAGGACTGCCGCAACAGTCTTTTCAGCAGCCAATCATGCTACCTAATCAATCAGGTCAAGGAACACTTACAGCCACCGGATTGCCCGTTTACTGTAATGTCATACCTCCTTCCCCACAGAGCAATCTCCGGCTGATAGCACCGCACTGTCCCTCCAATAATGTTCCAGTTATCTCTGCCAACTGCAGGACAAACTGTGCAAATATTAATAATACTGGATGGCAGGTCAAGTACTGAAACTGTGAATTTGTAGTACAGATATATAAAGGTAACTGTGCTTTTTTTTAAAAAAAAAGACAACTATCTCATGGCCTTCAAATGAAAAGAGGAGCTCAACAGGAGTAATGGGTTGAGAGACATAGAGACAGTGCTGCTGAAGAGACATAACAACAACAAGGGTTGTTTGCTGGTTAATGGTGCATATTTTCATCATGTCTGCTAGGTATGCTTTTATAGCTTAGCTAGTGACATGAAATCATTGAGGTAAGATTTTTTCCTACCACTGAACACCACTGTGTAGATTATAATATCCCTGATTCAGATTAGTTTTGTACTTTGTGTTGAGTTTGTGAAGCAAAAAGTATTTAAAAATATAATAGAACCACATTGTACCAAAGTTGTAATGGACATTTTAAAAAAATGTTGAATGGAAGGAAAAATTTATATACACTATAGAGTTTTTTTATGGATATCTACTGTATTGTAGTGTTAAATCACAATAAAGCTACTTGGCCTCATAAAGAAAGGTCAGCTTTCTACTCTCTATGTGTTATCTTCTTTTTTGTACCGAGTTTGCTTTCTAGTTAATATTCCATATTTGTTAGGAATTTTAAAAAAATCAAGCATATAACACAAAAGGAATAATATATTGACTTTTCATTTGCTGCAATATTGGTGTGGTTTTCAAAAACAAATAAGGAAACCCTATGCATTTTGAGATACAGAAGTTGTCAATGCTATTTATCATGTGAATTTTAAAACAGAAGGTAGAACCAGTGGGATCTATTGCAACTTATCAGTATCAACATTAGTCTGGAGAAAAAGGCTGTTACTAGATTCTTTACAGTCATTTATTTGGCTTCCAAAATAATTGTACTCTCACAAAGAGGAAAGTGGATTGTCGAATCCTATCTGAACTGCGCAATTTCATATCATTTCCAACTACTATATTTACTTGACTATCAGTTGAAATATTTTGACCTAATAATTTTGCCTGAAAACCTGGGTCAACTTAACCATGAATCAATGCTGGAAAAAGATGATGATGATGACAACCTGATAAGCTTTATACTCCTTGCTTCTTTAAGCACTTGAGATAAAGCAAAGCAATGGCAGGTAGAGTGACAAGAGCCAACTAATATCTCTCCCTAGCTTGATTCTCAGTCCAGGGGCATCTCTCCAGATTCAGGTACTGACAAGCCCTCCATCCTGGTTTGGCAAAAAGGGGTAATGGGATGGGAGCTCTGCTTCTACAACCTTCCGCGCCAAAAAGGACGTCTTGCCTCTACTTATTGTCATGTTAGTTCCCTAATAGAGGCAGGTTTATTTTCTTGCTCTTCTCCACCTACTCCCCCTTTTCCAGACTGCATTCTCACTCTTTTTCCTGTTTTATAACCCTTTTTTCTATCCATGTTTGTGTAGATCAGTAATGTGTTTCTTACATGTAGACATGCCCAAACTGTAATCCCTCAAATAAACATACCATCTCCTTTAGTTCTGCGTAAGTGTATTCCCTATATGCATTTTTTAAAGGAGATGAAAATATTTGCTTGTTACACGCCTCAAAGTTTTACCCATAACTTATCAACAGGCTATAGCAAATTATGTATTTTTGAATCCAAAAACTTCCCTTGACTCATCCACAAGATTGACTTAGGACTTGGCAGTCCCTTTCAGGAACTATCGGAGGGACTCTTTTCAAGCTGGTCCCTAATTGACTACAGGAAAGCTGTCCTATAGCCCCATTGAAACATTGGTTGAGAAAAAGCCACAATGTTACATATGCCACTATTGTAGAACACTCTAACATCTGGAGAGGGCTGGGCTTGTTATTGCGCACCAATAACTTTCAAATTCTTCTAGTGGGCAAACTACGTGCATGGCACTTTTGGGTGATGGTGATAGTGCAACAACCACAAATGTGAATTAGTATCATCATGATGTCTTAATAAGCTTATGGTATTGTAATTACATAGCCCAACCAAAAAAAATGTCTAGGTGCCTTGACTTTTAGCCTGTTCCTGGGTTTTTTTTAATGCTTATTCAGAAAATTGTATTGGATAGAATGCATCAGCTCCGTTTTATATATATAGCTGTCATGATTTGCCATATGTTATGTATCTCAGAAACTAGAGCTGATAAGGAAAAATGAGTGACATTTTGGAATCAGCAAATCAGTTATACTCAGAAGTGGCTCTAACATTTGGAGCACCAAAAATGTGTTGGCCAGTGTTATTGAACAAAATACCAGGCACAATGTGTTTATTTTACCAAAGATATCCTATCTACTCTTGAATTCATTTCTGATCTATGATGAAAACCAGACAAACCTAACATAGGGTTTTCTTGGCAATAATTGTTCAGAAAGTTTTACTTTTGCCTTCCTTTGCAGCTGATAAAGTATGACTAGCCCAAGGTCACCCGGTGAGTTTCCATGTTTGAGTGGGGATTTGAACCCTGGTCTCCAGAGTCATAGACTAACACTTAAACGACTACACCATATTGCTTAAGATTTATCAGTTTCATTCCCCAGGGCTTTCCTTGTTTCATAGCCAACCTTTATCTTCTGTTGAACTTTGTATACAGCTGCATTTAGTAGTGCTAAAAAAATAGCTTGGGGAACTTAAAAATAAAAGGTGGAAATGGACCTTCTGAAACTGCAATGCCAGCATAAAAGCCTTCATCAGAGTAATAAAAAAAACAATAAAAGCTGAGGGCAATGCAGCAACAAAGCTAACCATTCCACTGCATTTAAATCACTGGTGCTGAACTCTACAAAATAAGTCTCCTGAGACCCACTTAAAGGCCCCTTCAGATATGGTTCTTTCCCTCAAGCTATTAGAAGAGTTCTAAAAGTCACCAAAACATGTGTACATATTTACATCTTTTTTAAAAAGTGGCTATAAAAGAGGCAGAGCCTACAACAATGATCTCAGTACCAAATGGGAAATAATCCTGCTAAACACTGCCAGTTTTAAAAGACATTGCTTTTTGCTTTCCTTTGGTGATCTGCTTTAGGAGGGCAGAGGTGGCATTTCTATGATTCTCAGTCCAGCGTGCTTTATTTCTTGGCTGCAGGCTGATAATGATGGCATTATCAGCCATCAGCCCACACTGAAGCATGGTAGAATAGATAAGACTTGGTTCAAAACCCAACATTCATTAGAATTTTCCTAGACTTAACATCACTTAGGTTAATCAACTTCATTGCTACACCATGAAGACAGAGGGCGAGGTGATATACATATGTGCTTATTTTAAAAAGGCTGAGGTGCAAATAATATGTTAACAAAAATAATATGCCTACAGAAAACTCCCACTGATTATAGTGAAGTTTGTGGACAACTCTCTCTCCTCATTTGCTTTGTATTTACAAAGAAAAACAAAAGGTACAACAAATCATTATATATCTATGCATTTCAAATCACTCTTGGTTAGTGTCTTCAGTACCACAAATTTTCCATTGGGATTGCAGAGCCCGTCATTGTGGATCTCCCATTTCACAATGGGAGGATGAGCAAGCAAATATGCAATTCCTGGGACAATGATAGTATTCAGCCCAATAGCAACGTGGCCTGACCACCACTAAACTCAATGAGTGTAGATTTACACCATATAAGCATGGTAAGGGATCTTGGTTGGCATTTCTGAAAACATAGCTCTAGCCATATTCTGGACAGTGCCAGATATTTCTGAATGACTGGAATAGACTCGCCTTCAGGTTTTGGGATGTTAGAGCTGCCTCACATCTCCCACTCACACTCCATGCTACAGCAATACTACTGCAGATGCCACCCACGTGAGTGGCTGGATTCAACTCACCACAAGGAAACCTACACTCCTTGCTTTTCCCTTTGAAACACCAGCAAGATGCACTGTTGACTGGGAAAAATATTTTCGACCACAGTTGCCAAAATCTCTATACAGTATAGCTAGCTACTGGTTCTATTGGATGGGAAATTGTGACAGCTTCTGTCCAAAAGCAATTTCCCCAAACTTGTTCTATTGGGTATGGGACCGTACTTGTTTTTCTGTGTGCTAACCTTTTACATATCAGGATTTATTCATTCCTTGATTCTTAGCACAAAAGTTGCTAAGCTGCCGGCTGACATTTTAAAAAATTGAAGAGATTAACAGGATGCCTGTGGCAAGATAATGCTGTTTGAGATTTTAAAGCAATATGTGGCTTTAAATAAACATGTTAACAACAATTATATCCACATGTTATATCAGAACCTGTGTATTTTCTCCCATAACAAAAATTGCTTTTGAGGTTATTTAAAAACAGACAAATGTTGTAAGGTTTATGTTGAAAACTGAGACTTTCTAATCATCCTTCATGGGATTAAAATCCTCACCAAGGGCACATTCACACTGACCACTTAGCATCAAGTGCCAGTGAATCTGTTCAGTGACAGCTAAACCATGCACAGAACTGATCCAGATTAAGATGAGTCAAATCTGCTTAATACAGTCTTGAACTATGTTAACCGAAGCCATGGATTGAGCATCCTTCCCCAGAATTCAGAGCAAACCACAACACTGGGCCAATGAAAAGACGTGGAATGATTCTGAGGCGGGACTGGCTGTAACCATTCAGGTGACCTGGGGACACAATATGGTACACATTGTCCCCTCCCAATTTCCTTGTTACAGCAGCCAGTGGGCACAACATGGGATGTGCAGGTTTCTCAATACCTGAAGTGATCCTAGCTGGACCAATGAGACAATAGGAGAAGGGAGGGGGAGAGGAGAATGTGATCCTTTCTTTCTCTGCCCCCCCCCCCCCCCCCCCCGATGTTGTTCTGGTGCCTCAGCTAATGTCACTCCAAGTAAAATGTGACTGGTCACCCAGGTTGCACTTGCTGGCTGCTGCAACCAAGAGAACAGGAAGGGATTGTTAGGGTGGCCGTTTGGCAGCACCAAAGCACTGGGTGGTCAAGATTTCCTCCTGCCTCCACAGCAACTGGGTGGGGGGGGGGGCAATGTAAACATGCTGGATCAGCTCCATGATAAGTGCCTAGTCCACTTCTACCCTTAGTCTACTGTGACATATATTATAATGGCTGCCTTTGGAAATTATCTAAAAACCTCTGCTGAACATGGCAAGCCACTTCCTGATGTCCATGATTTGGAGCGAATGAACGACTTTTATTTAGACCACATAAACAAGTTCCAGGTCACTTGCCAATCAGATTCAAGATCCAATCCAAGTGATGATTTTGCCTTTTAAATGCTCCTCAGGACCCTAGTATCTCAAAAGCAAAAATGATCACATGAGAAACATGACAGAGTAGAAAGAGCCAAAAGAAAGGACAGCTGTGACAAATATTCATAATGGCATGTCAGCAATGTGCTTTCATCACAGAAACCAGTGACTGGCCAAGACAGATGGTAAGAAGCACAATTGTTAAGGATGGAGGAAGCCCATGGCAGCAAAATTCAACTCAGGAGGGCAATGTTCTAAAATATATCTCAGGAATGCCACCTGGCTCTGTGGCAGCTTAGCTTTTGATTGGTGATGTAAGGACATAGTATTTTCCC